TTTTACAAGGCCGCCGCGAATCTGTGGCGTGCGAGGTCATGCTTGCGCGAAGCCGCAGGATGCATGATTGAAACTGGGTATATTCACCCTCAGATGGCTGCGGCCATTGCGGCGACCGAAAAGGTCGAAAGATTTTGTAATGTTCTTCGGGCTGCCAACCGCTACGCCGGTTTGGGCACGTATCGATTCAATGAAATCGTGGGCAGGAGTCTGCTCGATGGATATGACGACTGGAGAACTCCTCCGAGGGAGGAGGACCGTCCCGAGTTCCTTGCTCGGGAGGTTGAGGACGTCTTCCGTTCCTATTGCGCGGGCCTTTTGAGGTCTGAAAGTTTCGACCTCAGGTCCTGCGTAATTGACCCGGAACCGGCGCCCAAGGCGGAGCCGGCTCCCAAGATGAAGCCACCTCCTCCATCTCTGTCGGTCAGTAAGGGCCTTCCTAGGCGATCGGCCCCTGCTGTACATACTGGGTCGGCTCACACCGCCAAGCGTCCAAGAGAGACTGGCGGTGGCTCCACTGGGAACGTGCAGATCCCAGGGCATTATTTCGGCAAAGCCCGCACAAAGGAATCCCCTGTCCAACCCTCTGAACCGCCAATGGGCGGGGCAGGGGGGAGCGCACAGCCATCCGCAATGGATGTGGATAAGGAGGGGAGTAAGGGCGATGAGAAGAAGAACAAAGCGGCCAATGAGGCTGCTGTAGCGTCAAAGAGCGCAAAGCCGCATCCGGCGAAAGCGTCGCGTCCCGAGGCCCTAAGCGGCTCGTTGGATGTGACACTAATCAGCGATGTACGGGAGCGTGATCGGGATATTTCCGATGACGAGTATTCCCCTACGAACGTGTGCATGTTTCCAGAATCATGGGAGGGCGCAATGCCGACCTCCGTGATTGACAAGGCCGGAGGCTTTGAGCAGTTTAGGAACGAGCTCATGAGGATCCAGAGAGTCCTGGATTCTCCGGCGTTGGTCGACCTTGGTAAGGTCGATCTGGACGCTCTGGGCGAGCCGCCCAAGGAGTACGTCTCGGATGAGGATCACGAGAGTCACGTAGATGATGATGGGATGGGCCCATATGTGGACAAATTCTCATCGATGGGCGACCGCGACCTAGTGCCCTCAAAGCAGGAGCCGCCGTACTATGAGGCAAAGGCGTGGCGTACCACTGAAGAGGAAATTGAGCGGATGAAGAGCCTTTTTCCATACTTTCGCGCCGAAAATTATCGGCTTATGTCAGCGAGTACTGGTCCCATTGGTACCAAGTCGCACGTACAGGGCGTCCTCCCTGCAGGTGCGTCGTTAGAAGAGGCACTGATGGCAAAGCCCGGTGTGTGCCCGATTACGAGCACCTACAACCTCACATACGAGGGTGAAGAGGTTGTGATTGATGCGCAGAGCGGGATAGCAGGCAGAATCGCCTGTCCTGCCGGTAACGACATCTTCCATTTTTTCCCCGAAATTAGGGATGTGTCGGCGATGGCTGGACGAAGCTCCAGAGAGTCGCAAATGCTGTTAGAAATTTTGTCGGGCAACACTGACCCAACGCGGTTGAATGTGAAGTCCGGTGAGCCGGCCCCCTTCTTGTGTGGGACGGTTCCAGACATTCTGGGAGGTTGGATGTCAATGACTCTAATCTCAACGCTCTTTGAGGCCCTATACGGGATCCATAAGTGCACGAGTGTCGAGGTGGCGACCTGGGCGGGCGCTCTCGCGAAGGAGAGCCCAACGTACCCTCCAGTCGAGCTCCTAATACGGACAGTCTGGAGGACAGATGGCACGACTGTGCGCCCGAATGAGGTGCTTTTTGCGCGGTCCACCCTAATCGGGAGGGACGTGCCGTTCAAAGTTTTCAAGCGTTGGGCACTGCGTGACCGAACGCCTATCGGGCCTTTGCTTAGGCCGATGGGAGCAGCAGAAGTCCCTTATACGGGATACGTGCTGCTGACGATGGCCGAGTATCGGTCCGCCCTCAAAACGAGGTGCATTCGGAGGCCTGGCAAATTCGCCATCACAGTTTTCCCCATGCGGCCTGAGCAGGTCTGCAGGGGGGAGATCATGATTGGGATGGAGGGCGCAAAGGTGCCTCTCCTCAAGTTACCCAGCCCCAATAATGAGGGCGAATTTTATGTTGACGATCGCGTCAAATACATGGACAAGCGCCATGTCGTTGTGGCCGTTGACCTGAAGTGGATCGCCATCGAGGAAGCCGCCGGCATCTACAAAACCCGACGCGGTTTGATCGCTGTGCGAGAGGAGATACATGCGCCCTTCTGGCGCGCATGCTATCTGCACCAGGAAGGGGATGTAATATACATCCGTCCCTGGGCGGTCCGTGAGTTGAATGTTCAGGGACCGCGGAGAGGGGTGTCATTTTCGTGGGACAAAGCTCCCATGCATGACTACTGGTGCCCTCGGTGCGCGCATTTGAATATGTATGGCACCATTCTATGCAATGGTTGCCATCTGCCGATTTTCTATCGTGAGTGGGTGCCAGGCACCGTCCGCTCTCTGGTTAGGAGTGGGCAACCAGTCTGGTTAGACGGACTCAAAGCAGTCCGTGCCAGCAGCTGGTATGAAGGGGAGACCGACGCATGGGCTCCTCTCATGGCATCGGTAAACCCGATCCGCGAGGTGGTCAGCTGTATGATCTCCGGTTTGCGCTGTGCGCCGCACCTTGTGCACAATCCCAATGCGGATGTTGTGCAAGTTGCGTTTCAGGAGGTTGCAAAGGTCACCTCAAAGGACACCCACGCTTCTGTGCGTGCGAGTGATGAGGCTCTCGAGCGGTGGGTAGCGAAACAGCTGCTCATCGAGGAGAGCAACACTGGCGTCCCAATTCCCGACAATATGTCTGTCATGACATATTTGATTGAGCACCCGCAACAGGCGGCGCAATGGGGTCGTCATATGACGAGAAAGGGCAGTCTAAATTCAGCGCCCTTTACCTCTCTGTGCATATTTATGATGCCTACCGCATCGGAATTGAGGACGGATATTTGGTTCCGCTGTATGGCCTAGGCGCCTCACGCGCGGACATCATAATGTCCTTGGTGCAGGCTGAGCGACGCCTCGCGGACTTCAATAGTGAGGACCCAAGTTTTGATGCCTCCACTGTTCTTGATTGGAGCATCGACTCTCTGCGGGCCAGTGGTGGATCCATCACGGCCGCGATTGAGTATGCTGAGGCATACATTTATGTCGAAGACAACAAGGTTGACATGGTCCCCGCTGCACAGCGCGACGGCCAATGCGCCATTGTTTTTGCTGACCCACCGGCTGGGAAACACCATAGGCGGGCAGCCACTCCTAGGGGAGATCAACGATCTGCTACCCCGCGACCTGAATCCAGGTCAAAGGGAGATCAGCAAAAGGGCAAAGCCCCTGCGCAATCCTGGCCCAAGGGTGGAGGTCACAAGGGTGACCAGTTTCCAGGAAAGGGTCACAAGGGTGATCAGTACAAAGGCAAGGGTGGCCAATACGGCTACCAACAAGGACAGTTCGGTCGTGGCGGATCCGCCAGGTCGAGAACTCCCACTGGCGGGTATCAGCCTGATGCTCGCGGGTCGGGATTCAAGGGCGCACAGGCTGCCCCTTACCCGTTCCCGAGTCCGATGTAGCCCACTTTCCCAATGGGAGGATACATGCAACAGCCCATGGCTGGCATGATGCCACAAATGTGGCCTGGCGCAATGCCGCAGGGTTGGCAGCCGCATATGCAGGGTGATCCCCGTGAGTTCGAGAATCCGAACTCGCCGCATACCCCTACTTGGGGTGACGGTGACGAGTTGGCCGAGACCGTGCCTCCTCCCCCTGGGGACTGGAATGCCAGCAAGGGGAAGGGGCGGCACGGCGGTGGACGACATCGGTGATACCTGAAGTCTGTCCATGCGTTTTGCACGGCTGCGCCGACGCGCGCATGCTTTCATCCCGGAATTCACAAAATGGACTATGCTCCTTGTAGTATTTCTTTGTCTGGGCTATTCGCCGTTTCAGAATTCAATTGCATGCGTAGCTGTGCGCTATTCGCGCAAGCTGCGATTACCTGTCAGGTGTGCATCGCCGCAGCAAGGCAGTCACTCTCGGCGGCGTCTATGGCCGCTGGTGATCTGCATCCACCTGCACCACTGCTGCTGCTGGTGATGATGCTCATCAAGGTGCCGAGGTGAAGATCACGGGTGCCCTGCACCGCTGCCGGTGATGTCCTACTCGGACCCGAACCGCGGATCGCTGCTGGTGGTATCCATGGCGGTTGTCCTCGAGTGATCGCGCGCCTAGACGGTGCTAATTTGTAACCAAGGCTCATTGGTCTATGCACCATGTTTCAATCAACTGGCCAATGCGCCTAATTTAATAATTAAAAATTAAATCCACTTGAATCAAATGGTTCAATGTGGTTGCAATGCAAATGACAATTCTTTGGCTTCATGCCGGCCATTCCGAAGTTGATCCTTTGTTCTTTTCTTTTGTTGCTTCCTCTTGTTTGATTTGGCTACCGGCGAGAATCCGCCCCATACCCGTAATTCGGGGTGGTGGCGGGATCCGGGCACCAATGAGTGCCCGGGTATGGGGTCGCGAACCCTGGTAGCCTAATCGGCTTTGTTTGTCTTGTTTATTGCATTTCAACTTCAATATGGCCAATGCGCCCTTCCAAATTCATTCCTTCTCTTTGTACAGGCGAGGGGGGTGTTTTTGGGGGCATGTACTTTTATCATAGCAGTTTGTAGTATGCCTTTACCCAACGCGGTATCTGGCTCAAGATTTGTTTCCGGCGGAAAACTCCGCTAGCACGTCACTCGCGCCATTCTGGCGCTGCCACCGCTCTCGCTGCAAAAGTGCGGCGGGCCTGGTTGGCGGCGAGGTGGCTAAGGTGGTGCTAGGTCGGGGCTATTTCTGGGAAATTGCATTGTTGCTGCTGCTCCGCTTTTGCTTGGTTAATTGCTTTGCTCCCCCCAAACCACCTCTTCAGCCCATCGCCCATCAGATTCATCAGATTCAGATTTCAGGCTGGAGCTTCTGGCGCGGCTTTTCAAGGTCTTCGCTTGCTCCTCAGCGTTGGGCGTGGCCTTTGGCCTCGTCACCTCCCTCCTGTGCCTCGACCGAAGGGAAGTGCCGGGGTGGGGCCCGGCCCGGTTCAGGCCGATGGGTGGGAAGTGCGGCGCGGGGAACGCGACCACAGGCCCCCTTTTGTTGGGTTGCTGCTTGGAGGTTCTGTGCGCGTTCAAGTTTGTTTTTTTTGTTGTTGTTGTTTTGTTGTTGTGTTTGTTGTTTTTTGGAGGTTCTGTTGTTTTTTTTGTTGTTTTTGCAGACGAAGGGTCCAAGATGAGATTGTTGCAACGCATGTTCAAGCAAGATGGGCTCGAGCGTTGCCATCACCGCAGAACTTGACAATATATTGACTGGCTAGAGGTGGAAGGCCCGAACATTGGCAAAGTTGCTTTGGCGCATTCTGAGAGCACTACTCGTCATTACTCATCACCATGTCAACAACTCCCCCCACGCGGCCCCCCCCACAACACCCTCCCCCCGAAAGGAAAAGAGAAGTTGCGATCATGTTGGAGCAAGCAAGACTAGTTGAGTCTCATCGTTTGCTTGCATGTGGCTGTGGGTCAAAACCAATGGTACCATTCTGGGGTAATTAGGCACACCACCCATGTTAGTCTAATTTAGTGGGGATTGGGATGTTCACTGGGGGTACGGGGTTTTTGACCCATGGCCATGTTGTGTGGTGTTTTAGCCTTGCCCCATACTTGGGGGCTGGCACCAGTGGTTTTTCTGCAGCTAAGGTTCAAGCACGCCCTCCCAGCGAGTTTGGCGTGTGTGACATCATGCGAGAGTGGGCAACGTCATGGGACATCTCGAGATGGCATTGGCATATGGTATTTGCTTTGGTGCATCTTGCCAAGGGATGTTAGGACTTTGAGTTTTTGCCAACTGATGGGGTTTCCATTGAGCCACTAACTTTGTTAAACTTTTAGCAGGGGAGCAGAAAGCAACTTAGACGTGGTGATTGGTTGACGCATGGCGAGGTTGGGATCGGGACTCGTTTCTCAGGGTTCAGCTGTTGCGTGGGGGTCCCGTCAGACGCACGAAGGCCTGCCAAACTTCCAATCCAACAGGGACTGCGCGCAGAGACAGCTTGGGATCTGTTGAATGGTTGGTGTCGTGTTGGCAGGCTGTCAGCATAAAACATGACGGCATCCGCAGATTTGACAGATGGCCTCAACAATCCAGAACCAATCAAGTTTGTGTCGGTGTAAAGCAATCTAAATGGCCGGCACTCCGCGACATGCCTGCAGTTTGAACGCGGGACATGATTTCCGAAGAAAAGACAGTAGACTCCGCAAATATGAGTCTACCCAACTCACGCAATACACACGTAATGCAGGGTGGTGATACTAATGAAGCCAACATGGATCGTGTAAATATGCTTTGGTTGGTTGATAAGAGATAGCCCAGTACCCGAAACTGAGATGTTGAGACCTGTTCATGTTTGCTGTCCTGAAGCTCAGGTGATTACATCCCAGATGTTCAGTTTGACGGAGGTATCACCAGAACTCAATCCTCGCCCAAACGCAATTTTCCAGCCACAGGATTCCCGCTGCCTATTTGCAGACTGTTTTGTTCTTGACAAGCTTCAGACAAAGTAAGTGGCCGTGGCCCAAATCTCGGGGCAGAAGGGAACATGAGGCCTAAAAGCTGAGGCACGCCTGTCCGAAGAAAAACTCCTTTTGGGCTCAGCTCTTGGTCAACACCTATGGCTTTGATCGGTGTTTAAACGACTGTTGAAATGTGAAGGCCCCAATCAACCCAAAAGCAGAGCTTGATCCTGGCGTCGAGCAAGTGCAGCAAGGGCACCTCAAGTGATGTCCTCGCCAGGCCAAAGTGCTGCACAGCGAGGTGATGAAGCCAGTGGTACTTATGCTGGGCTGCAACTACGCCTGCTTCCCGGCGTGATCCCATGGCAGTGGGAAATGTGGAAATTTGCTGTCCCATCGGGGGTTGAGATCGGCGATGCCTCGGTAGATATTTAGGCCAGGCGCGCCTCATTCTTTATGCAGTTTGGAAATTTAGCATCATTAAACTTGTTCTGGCAGATTCATCATGGATTGCAGTTTGCCTTTCGCATCGTTCAACCTGTGATTGTGAAAACTTCCGCGCTACTTGGAACGCATGATGGTAGGCCAGCGGATGCATGGACTGCTTTGCCATTGCGAACGAACATGCCAGATCTTTCACATCCATGTTGTGCTTGCACCTGATGCAAAACCATGGATAAAGAGGCAGTGTGGGCGATTTCTGTTCTCAGTGCTGCTGTGCAGAAACATGATCCGTTGCTGATATCATGTCACAGATTCGTTCCAAAGGTCCTTGTAAGGAGTTGAGTATTCCCATTGATGTTGGTTGGGGGTACCTCCGCGAAAAATCGCGATGGAGTTGCGAAAGTTGTTGTTTTGTCTTCGCAAAAGGTTTGCGTAACTTTATTTTGTAAATCAGTGACATGTGAAAGCAACCGTGTATCTTTGCTGTTGAGCCTCTATAGCTGATAAACACCCTTTGTTGCTTTTGCGTCTTGCTCGTTAGGTGATAAAGCCTGGTTGCAGTTTGACACCCTGCTTGAGTGGGTTTGTGTGTGTGTTCGTGTGTGTTCGTGTGTGTGTTCGTGTGTGCGTGTGTGTGCTCTTAGTCGGTAGGTGTGCAATCTGAAACATGGGTGACTTTTCGCGAAAGCCTGCTCGAAAGCGCAGGCTTCGAGCACTTTCTGAGAGCCGCGCTAGTGAGTGTGCTAGCTTGGTACTGAAAAGTTGGGACTTCCAGCTGGGGCTGCCTAAGTGCATTTCGTGTACTAGCGTGGTACTGAACAGTTTTGACTTGCTAGCTGGCGCTGCGGAAATGCACTTCATGTGCTAGTTTAGTACTGGAAAGTTGCGACTTCCAGCTGTGCTGAAAAGTTGCGAGTTCCAGCCGGAGCTGCAGAAGATCATTTTGCGCACAACGCTTGTTACTGTTGCCACTTTCCGGCCGGAGCTGAAGAAGTGCATCTTGCGCACTGCACTTGCACTGAGCAAGGGCCTGACTTTAGCAGTTAAAACTGCACGGCGACGAATCCGCGCAAGATCCACGAAAGTCATCTTTGTATTCGCGAAGAATGGCGGTTTCGAGACCAAGGATTTTAGAACAACCACCACATGTTGCGTTGAATCAGCAAGGCAAGAGGTAGAAATGATCTTGTAGATCGCCGTGCTGAGCCCCTGGCGCCTGAGGCTACATACTGCCTCTTGGCTTTTGATGTTCTTGAGTCGTTGCAGGCTTGCTGTGAAAGATCGACACGTGAGGGGTCGGGGCCTGTGAATGCAGATAGCTCAAGTTTTCCTGCCAGCCTCGAAGCTCAGTCAGTAATGCACTCCTTGGAATCCTGGACAACCTTGACAGCTATTGCCGATTTGCACCAGTCTAAGTTCTGATTGCTGGTGAGCATGCAAAAAGTTCAACATGACAGTGAATCTAGATTAACATAGATGGATCGATCTCATGCTCCGTACGCAGAACAAGACACCCCGATTTCCAAAGCATACCTTTTCTCAACGTCTGACTTGGCTCAACCTTAAAGGAGGCCGGGCATGAAATCAGCTTGTGATATGGCTTGAGCCCACCTGGCTCAGTCCAATCAGAGGTACTGCTCACCCTCCTCTTCAACCGGACCCTTCTGGCAAAAAGTAAGGCCACCTCAAAGCGTGTGTATCAGATAAACCGCTGTTCCAATGTTCCCAAAGGAGGAAGAGAAACCTAAGGACGGATGTGTTTCAAGAGCCGCTACTCTTTTAGGTTTCCCAAGGGAGAGAAACCTAAGGACGGAGGTCTGCGAGTTCTCCTCCATCTTCGCCTTGTTTGTGTCATCGGTGCTCAGTGGCCATTACGCCTCCTACGGCATGTCCGAGGAGGCCCAAGCCTTTGCCAGCCCCCCGGCACATCAGCATCCCACCAGTTGGTGGTAGGGGGGTGGTTTCCCAATTTCCCTCGCACAAGAACAAGGAGTTCAAGTCCAAATCCAAACCACCAATCCAAACCACCAATTAAGGGTAACACACACACAAAACACACCATTCAAAGCACCAATTAAGGGTAACACACGCACACAAAAAACACACCATTCAAAGCACCAATTAAGGGTAACACACACACACAAAACACACCATTCAAAGCGCCAATTAAGGGTAACACACGCACACAAAAAACACACCATTCAAAGCACCAATTAAGGGTAACACACACAAAACACACCATTCAAAGCACCAATTAAGGGTAACACACACACACACAAAAAAACACCATTCAAAGCACCAATTAAGGGTAACACACGCACACAAAAAACACACCATTCAAAGCACCAATTAAGGGTAACACACACACACACACAAAGCACACCATTCAAAGCACCAATTAAGGGTAACACACGCACACAAAAAACACACCATTCAAAGCACCAATTAAGGGCAACACACACACACACAAAACACACCATTCAAAGCACCAATTAAGGGTAACACACGCACACAAAAACACACCATTCAAAGCACCAATTAAGGGTAACACACGCACACAAAACACACACCATTCAAAGCACCAATTAAGGGTAACACACGCACACAAAAACACACCATTCAAAGCACCAATTAAGGGTAACACACACACACAAAACACACCATTCAAAGCACCAATTAAGGGTAACACACACGCACAAAACACACCATTCAAAGCACCAATTAAGGGTAACACACGCACACAAAAAACACACCATTCAAAGCACCAATTAAGGCTAACACACACACACAAAACACACCATTCAAAGCACCAATTAAGGGTAACACACGCACACAAAAACACACCATTCAAAGCACCAATTAAGGGTAACACACACACACACAAAACACACCATTCAAAGCACCAATTAAGGGTAACACACACACACACACAAAACACACCATTCAAAGCACCAATTAAGGGTAACACACGCACACAAAAAACACACCATTCAAAGCACCAATTAAGGGTAACACACGCACACAAAACACACACCATTCAAAGCACCAATTAAGGGTAACACACGCACACAAGAAACACACCATTCAAAGCACCAATTAAGGGTAACACACACACACAAAACACACCATTCAAAGCACCAATTAAGGGTAACACACACACACACACAAAAAAAAAACACCATTCAAAGAACCAATTAAGGGTAACACACGCACACACACAAAACACACCATTCCAAGCACCAATTGTAACACACGCACACACAAAACACACCATACAAAGCACAATTAAGGGTAACACACACACACAAAAAAACCACCATTCAAAGCACCAATTAAGGGTAAGAAACGCACACAAAAAACACACCATTCAAAGCACCAATTAAGGGTAACACACACACACACAAAACACACCATTCAAAGCACCAATTAAGGGTAACACACGCACACAAAAAGCACACCATTCAAAGCACCAATTAAGGGTAACACACACACAAAACACACCATTCAAAGCACCAATTAAGGGTAACACACACACAAACCACACCATTCAAAGCACCAATTAAGGGTAACACACACACACAAAACACACCATTCAAAGCACCAATTAAGGGTAACACACACACACACACAAAAAACACCATTCAAAGCACCAATTAAGGGTAACACACGCACACAAAAAACACACCATTCAAAGCACAAATTAAGGGTAACACACACACAAAACACAGCATTCAAAGCACCACTTAAGGGTAACACACACACACAAAAAAAACACCATTCAAAGCACCAATTAAGGGTAACACACGCACACAAAAAAGACACCATTCAAAACACCAATTAAGGGTAACACACACACAAAACACACCATTCAAAGCACCAATTAAGGGTAACACACGCACACAAAAACACACCATTCAAAGCACCAATTAAGGGTAACACACACACAAAACACACCATTCAAAGCGCCAATTAAGGGTAACACACACACACAAAACACACCATTCAAAGCACCATTAAGGGTAACACACGCACACACAACACACCATTCAAAGCACCAAATAAGGGTATCACACGCACAAAACAAATCACACACCTATTCAGCACAAAGCGAAGAGTAAGGGTAACACACGCACACAAAAAACACACCATTCAAAGCACCAATTAAGGGTAGCACACGCACACAAAAAACACACCATTCAAAGCACCAATTAAGGGTAACACACACACACACAAAACACACCATTCAAAGCACCAATTAAGGGTAACACACACACAAAACACACCATTCAAAGCACCAATCAAGGGTAACACACACACAAAACACACCATTCAAAGCACCAATTAAGGGTAACACACACACACACAAAGCACCATTCAAAGCACCAATCAAGGGTAACACACGCACACACAAAACACACCATTCAAAGCACCAATTAAGGGTAACACACACACACACACACAAAACACCATTCAAAGCACCAATTAAGGGTAACACACACACAAAACACCATTCAAAGCACCAATTAAGGGTAACACACGCACACACAAAACACACCATTCAAAGCACCAATTAAGGGTAACACACGCACACAAAAAACACACCATTCAAAGCACCAATTAAGGGTAACACACACAAAACACACCATTCAAAGCACCAATTAAGGGTAACACACACACACACAAAACACACCATTCAAAGCACCAATTAAGGGTAACACACACACACACACAAAACACAAAGCACCAATTAAGGGTAACACACACAACAAAAACACACCATTCAAAGCACCAATTAAGGGTAACACACACACACAAAACACACCATTCAAAGCACCAATTAAGGGTAACACACGCACACAAAAAA